AGAGAGAGAATAGGAGAGAGAAAGATAGAGAGAGAGTTGGAGAGAGATAGAGAGAGAGAGACATAGAGAGAGAGAGTGANAGAGAGAGAGAGAGAGAGAGAGAGAGAGAGAGAGAGAGAGAGAGAGAGAGAGAGAGAGATAGAGAGAGAGAGAGACATAGAGAGAGACAGAGAGAGAGAGTGAGAGAGAGAGAGAGAGAGAGAAAAAAAAAAGCTTAGTTTGTACAAATGCCGCAAGTACTCAAATAATTACATTTGATCATTCAGTGTTGATTTGTACATCAAAATCACTGTTGTCATCCAATGTAATGATTTGATTTTTTATATTATTATAACTATTTAACAAAGCCGATAAAAAGTTTTTTTATTTCTTATGTAATAAGTAATGTAAAACATGTTCACTTCACAAATTAGAGAATCTGGTAATTAATAAGATTAAAAAAATGTGTGTTACATTTAAATTAGTATTTTAAAATGAATGATGTATTTAAACATTAAACAAATAATAAATTCACGCAAAAAAAATTACAGAAGTCACTACAAATTAATTTCGTGATGGTAATACATCAGGTTAGCCCCGCGAGGGCAAATTGGTCCAAACCGTTTTTGACAAACTTTTAAAGAAACATCACAGTTAGACTGTTCAATAAATCCGTCACGTTTCATCAAATTATTTCGGTCGGTTAAGGAAATATGTTTAGGGGCACTCACAAAGCATTACACGTTTAAGCCCCTGGGGCGGATTTTTCACAACCGATTCTGACAAAGGATAAAATGCTGACCCCGAAATGTTATTCATTCATTAACCAAAGTTTACCCGTGGAGGCGATCCGTTTGTTTTTATTTATTTAGTTAATTGAAAAAACTTTAAACATTAGAAACTTTAAGAAAAAAACACTTTTTAAAGATGTAAATTTTTTTATTAGTAAATGGATTTTGATATGCCTGGGACGATAAGAACTAGGAAGCTTTATTACCTCAACCTTCTAAATTATGTACATATAATTAATAATTTCCCAAACTTTACGCAGTACCTTTTTTAATGATATTTGAACTTCGATATCGTTTAATGGAAAATCACGCAGAAAATTATGTTCAGGTTGATTAAAACAAACTTTAAAGTCCATATGGTTAAAAACAACTTAGCGGAATGCTGAAATATCCTTTTACTTCCTTTCGACCAAATTAATTTGTCCTACCGTATAGTTTAATTTATTTTGTCTAAATATTAAATGTCTAAATATTAAATAAGAAAAAAATATAATAACGGGAAGCCAAGGGACTGATATTGCTGATATTTTTCGTTTTTCCAGGATGTAAATTTGCGTTGCTGGAATTTAAAGACTTCGCAGGGCCACAGCAATAATAATTGTAAAATTGACTGAACAAATCTTTCAGAAATGAAATGGCAGAATTTACGACAGCATAACTTCTTGATTTTATTTATTCATTTGTCTTATTTTATTTTATTTTGTTTAATTATCTGTCTATCTTTCTACGTATTTATTTATATTTCTTTATCATGTCGAAACATTAAATAAGAAAAAATGATACGACTATAATAACGGGATGACCAAGGGACTGATATTGCTGAGATTTTTTCGTTTTTCCTGGAAGTAAATTTGCGTTGATGAAATTTAAAGATTTTGCGGGGTCACAGCAATAAAAATTGTAAAATTGACTGAACAAACCTTTTAGAAATGAAATGGCAGAATTTACGACAGCATTCTTGATTTATTTTCTTATTTTTTTAATTTCTCTTTCTCTCTCTTTCTGTATATAAATCAATCTATCTGTTCGATTTATTTATCTATAGGTGTTCATATATCCATTGTCACTATCGCATTTTAACAAAAATAAAGAGTATTGAAATTGTGTTTTTTGATGAAAAAAATATGTCTAGAGCCTATCGTTGTATACATTAATCCTGTTTGTTTGGCTTTAATGTTTTGTGGTTGAATTGACTGTAATACGGCTTTTCTTAGGTTATACATAACTAATAAACAATCTTTAAAAAAAGCCATTCAACAATCTAGTGTCATAAAATATGATTAGTGTTGAGTTATAAATTCCCTCTGTTTTGCATTTATGTGAACAAACTCGGTTTAAAAAAGCCTCTGAGGTTAGGAAAATATGCTCGTGTTTGGTGTTGATGTACTTTCTGTTTGAATGAGGTAATTTTGCTTTTCCAAATTAAAGGTACGCTCGTGGTTGGGGCACGTACGGGATTAGCAGGTATTATTGATGAGCGGCAGCTGAGAGATTTAATTGAATCTGATTCCAGCTGAACATGTTCAGAGATAACTTTCCAACTCAATATCTTTGAATCAATAAAAATTGCCTAACGAAAATGAAAACAATCTTGATAAACGGGTATTGTATTATTTAAAATTATTTAGACGTTTCTGATCATATTGGTCCGTCAGGCAGAAACCACTGGGTAATCTTTCCAGAAACCGGATTGATTCCCAGGAAGATAATGGACATTTGGTGGGATTGGAAAGGTGTGCTTTATTGTCTAACCATACCGTTAATTCTAGAGTATTCCGAAGAGATAAAAGCAGCAATTGATCAAAAATACAAGACACGTTTCCACCTGTGTGTGCCCAAAAGGAAAAAGCGGTTATAATGCTAATTTTTAATTATTTTAATTTAATTAAAAGACCTGAATCCACCAGACTGTATGGATCCCAGCCATTCAGAAAACAACATTCAGGACGCTATGAAAATTTTTAGGCCCAAGGTGATACGTTCTTATTGCAAAATGCGTATAAATTTGGATGGCTTTAACATAGGAATATTTTAAGTTTTGGCACTTATATATTAAGGGCGTCGGTGGCCGCAACGGTTTAGTTGTTGACACGGCGCTCATCATTTTAAGGTAAAGGTCCCGGGTCGAATCCAGCTGCTCTGCAGTATACTTACAACCATACTTACAAATGTTTTTTTTTTCAAATACACCGGCACTCTGATTTATACGACCTTTGCTGTTGAGAACCCTCGTAAAAAAATCTTACATTTTTAGAGAATTTAATGATTAAAATGATTTTTTATCCATCTGTTAATTTTAAAAAAATACAGAAATTTCAAGGAAAGTTGGCTTATTAGTTGAACTGTAAATCTTCCGGATCCATCCAAATGTGTGTAAGTGGGTGAGGATTGTCCAATAAGATAAATAAATAATAGCTGCCAACGTGCATCAAAGATCATTGTAAATAAGTTCACTATTTTTCGTGGTCCGCTTGACCAATTAATAACATTTAATTATTGAGGTTTTAAGCTGAGATAAAAAAGTCAGTGTCACGAGCGGGATTCGAACCCACGACCTTCGGCTTGATACGCCGCTACTCTACCACTTGAGCTATCGTGACTTCAGACCGAAGTAGTGTCCCGAAAAAGTCGAATCCCGCTCGTGACACTGACTTTTTTTATCTCAACTTAAAACCTCAATAATTAAATGTTATTAATTGGTCAAGCGGACATGAATAACGCACTGGAAACTTCTGTCCGGAATGCGACCGCGTAGGAGACCGTTATGGAAGGTTAGAATAATAGTCGAGCACCTTTTCAATTGTAGAGGGCTTGACGTATATACATAATATTTTGGTATATCTTCGGACCGTGCGTAGTCTTAGGACATGGCAGCGGGCACAGAAACCTACCTCCTCAGTACCCCAGGGCTAAAGGGATTTTTACATGTATTTAGTGTTTGTGTTGTGTCTGTGTTGTGTTAATGTTAATTATAGGGATGAATGTAATTTATTAGAGTGAAAGAAAGGGGTTGTTTAACAATAACGAGTTCTCTGGGGTGACGACTTGAAGTCTGGAGAGTGAAAGTAAGTTACTAGGGAGAATGGAATGGGTTGAACCACTCTATATTCTGGGGAATGAATGTGACCACATTTTTATGTATATATCGTACGGCGATGTATGTTTTGCGTCCATTTTGTTGTTGGCATTCTGAGGTACAAACAAGAAACTACCATTTTACGATATCGTCGGTGTTCGTATAGAAGCGGAAATTCAATAACTAGATCGAAACGCTCAAATGGCTGCAATTTAAAATAAAATTCGCATGATAGCCCAGAAAAAGAACACAAACACGCAAAGGGGCCGGCGATGACCTCAGCTGTTTGCCGGCCCATAATCCTCCCATTTTATATATGAATATATTATATTTTAATTCTTATAAAAATGTTATTTTATACTTTCTGCAGGTTGATTTTAAATAAATAATTTACTCGGTCGGATAAATTCATTTTTCAAATTTTCCAGAAGTAATGGGAGAATGTCATCACAAAATTACATGGAAGATAGCAAAAGATAGTACAACAAAATGGCATAAATAGTGACTAAATTTTCAATTTGGTCAAATAGAAAAATCGCTTGAAGAAAAACAAATTCGTTCTGCTATCTTCCTTGATGTCTCTCAAGCGTCTGGCATGAAGGACTCATCAATAACCTAAACATAAACTAAAAACAGTCAAGAGTCAAACAGAAGATTTCAAAGTTAAAAACAATAAATGCCGAGGGCCACGAGGTAGCATAATAGGTCTACTTCTTTACTTATTATAAACCAGTGGTTTTCCGAAAATAGATGGAGTAAAAATTGCAACGTTTACAGATGACACAGCGGTGATATCAGTAGAACCGACTATCAACCAAAATCCCAAAAAAAGGAATCAACCTCATTCGGCTTAAATAGGTACATATCAATTTTACAAACAAAAACGTGGGCCATGTTCGTCGCTCACTATCCATGGACCTGTTATACCGTACAGCGATACAGCTAAATATCTGGGAATGACCTTAGACGCCAAGCTCAGATGGAAAGTACACGTGAAAACAAAAAGGACAGAAAGAGGTTTAAGGTATATACAACAATACTGGTTGATAGGACGTGGCTCCAAGCTTAGTATACAAAAATAATATAATATATACAAAATAAATAATAAATAATATATACAAACATATCCTAAACCCTTTGTAGACATATGGTATTCAACTATGGGGTTGTAACAAACACCGCAACATCAAAATCATACAAATACTCCCAAAAAAATCATACGTAGCATGGTCAATTCAACTTAGTGGACTTACAAAGGGATCTTAAGATCCCAAAGGTCACGGCGGAAATACAAAGAATCCAAGAAAAACCAGTCTCGCCTCAGCCAGCACGAGGATGTTGAAGCGTCCAAACTCCTATATAACCGAAACGCCGTCAAAAGATCAAAAAGAGCAAAGACGTAAGAACTAGTATAGTTAAAAATTAAAGAATAGTGAAATGTAAATTTTATTGGACCATGTGATTTATAGAAATGTTTGGTCTGATTAAACCATTTTTTAATAAATAAGTTAAATTTTAAAAAATGGTCAAAATAATTGAAACAATCAAATAAAAAATTATCTGATTTTTTATATTACCACTCATGAAATTGTAGATAAGAGGGTTGACAGCGCTATTTGCATAGCACAGCCAGTGTGACATCATTGACAGGGCGGCTGTCACGTCGTTCTGGGGTATGTCCATTGTGTATCTGAAACAGTTATTATGTTAAAAAAATCTTGATGAAACGAGAAATGAAAGAAAGAAGAAAATTCAATTGTACTTTAGTAACGTTACGGACGTTGTGTTTACAAATATTAAACCAGCCACGATTATTGCGCTTGTTAAGTATATTATTTAATTTACTGCCATAGTACCACCTGAAATAATTTTGACCCGGCTTAAAAATCGACTATGTTAAAACGAGCCATGAAGTACTTATACTTAGTCGATGGTCTCGTTAGAAACTGATGTATTCTTGGGGGGGAAAAAAGTTCAGCGCGATGGATAGAGGGGAGATGTTTAAATTTTGCAGAACTTTTGATGGAGTTTGTGCTTGTGACAGTGTTTGATGTCTCTGCGATGACTCCAACGGTAAAGATCGACTCTCAAACTGAATAATGGCCGGAGGGTTTCCGAGTGCTGCTTTGTAAAGGGTTTGAGTTTGAACGAGAAGGGAGTTTTTTCCAATTTTCCAGCGGAATCTCAAAAGAAGGTTCTTTACCCAAAACCTTCTATTCGGCCACAGGATAAAAGGATAATTGATTGTTTTTTCTATTTTTTTGTAACGGGTTTTGAAAACAATCTAACAGGTCAAATCAATCAACAGATACAATCCAGTTAACGCCTATAATGGTAAACGTTTAATTGCCTCATAGTATCGCAACACAAAGGGATTTAAAACCAAAAATTCAGATTTAATCCCAACTCTCATACTTCTTTTATTAATTTTTAATAAGCATCCAATGTTCTAATGACCAAGTTTAAGGTATTATACCTTTTTGTAATTTTTTATTTTATATGAGTTTTGTATTATAATAATTATTAATTCATGCTAAAATTGAGAGTACTTTGAGAATAAAGGATATAAGTAAGTAGGAAAGAGCATTCGGTCTCATGTTGTCAGACTTTCAAGCCCCAATTTGTACTTAGTTTGGTCGTTTCCGATTGTTTTGGTCCACCTAGGCTCGCTTTTTTGGATAGGCCAGAAGAAATAACACAATCCCAGTTATAATTCATGTTCATTTTTATACATTATTTAATGTTATTAAGAAAATGTGATACAAGGAGATCTACCCAGGGTAATTGTTTTTAATCACATCCCGAACGTTTATTTTCATGTAATACACGGACTTTCGTTTCTTTATTGTTTATTTATTCTGAGTGATATGAGTGAAAGAAAATGTAATGTAAAGAAAACATTTGGATAGAGTGGAGAGTTACATCATACAAAGATAAAATTTCATGAAATTCCATCAGCACACAAAAGAATCGCTGCACGTTATATTTTCGTAGTCATGGACAAAATATATAATGATAGGTCGTAAATTATAATACACAAAACTTAATTAGTTAGTTTTGCAAGAAGTACCTGGCAAAATGCGATGCCAGAATGGTGTTAAATGATTTTACGAAAATATGATTTTATTAAATATTATCTATGATTATTCTTCATCTCAGGGTTTTTAAAGAAAAAAACTTAAATGTCTGGCAGCTCATTACCAATTTTATGGTTTTCTTGTTCTTGGCTGCTTTTGTGGAATGTCGTTTCTCTAGCAGTAGTTGGGCAAGGAATGTAACAGTATTATACATGAAATTCGACGCTAACCGAAGATAATTCTAGGGAAAATAGAGCGCAAATTGTGAATGAGGCTGATATTGAATTCTGGTATGGCCACCATGAAGTCGGGATTTGAATCCAATTGAGCACGTTTGAACCAACTGGAGCGACGTGACCAAGAACCCAGCGTCCAGGTCCCTAACAGAGAAGGAAAAGACTGCTCTCGCAGAATGGGAAAATTCCTACGGCTTCATTAAAATCCATCCCTCAGGTAGTCTTTATTAAAAACTAAACGAGATAATCCAATTCGATTGACACAATATTAGAATTAAATTACAAAGATTTTTGATCGGAAATGGTTTTACTTATTGACCAAGTTGTCAATATAAAGTGTGTATCAACTTCTATTGTCCACCAATTTAATTCAAAAACGATTAAATTTAGTAAAAAATGGTCTGATAAAAACTGCAAGTTCATTTTGGCTAGGAATCGCGTGGTGGGAACAGATTTAACATAAGTTTCTCATTTAGCTGGGAAATGACACTAACTTTGTTATTTTAAAAGATAACCCTATATTTTTATTATTTATAATTTGCTTCTAGAGCTTACTTTATGCCCATTTACTGAAAGAATTTGTTTGGTAGGATCGACCATTTTTGAGTTATGCCCGACGGAAGACGCATGAGGGGTAAGCTTTTGGTTTGGAAAGAAGATGACCTTCTCCGTTTATTCCGAAAACGATTAGCATTAGCAAGTTAAATTAGAATAGGAATCGTCTCAGAATAGGGTACGGATCATGGGGTTGCTTTTACGCTTGGCTTTTATTAATTAAAAAAAAAATTTACAAAAAAGGAAAAAGGGATTTCTCATCTTCAAGTCCATTTTATTTTTAAAATTTTAGCTGTTATTATGAATTGTTGCAGGTAGAAATTCATGTTGATAATAAATGGTCACATACGCTCAAAGGGCAAAGAGGAATAGTAAAAAAACCCCTGTATTTTAAATCTAAAACGGGAGGGCCATTTTGTTGTTCCAAAAAACATACCCTCTCAAGCGTCTTCCGTCAGGCGTAACACAGAAATGGTCTATCAGTAAAAGTGGAGCAAATAAGTTCAAAAATCGAAATGTACTACAACTGTAAATGTAGTATTCTCATTTAAAGTAACGAAGTTAGTGTCATTTCCCAGCGACGTAAGAAAGCTATGTTAAATCTGTTACCACCACGCGATTCCCAGCCAAAATTAAATTGGGGTTTGTATAAGACTACTTTTTGCTAAATTTAATCGTTTTTTAATTAAATGGGTGAACTGTAGAAGTTAATAAACCTTCCATTGTTTGAATATAAATATAAATGATAATATGAATAATATAAATATAAAATAATAATATGAATATAAATATAAACCTTGTGTATATTTATATGTATATATTCATATATATATATTGTATATATATTGTACATATTTGACGTTTTTGAAAAATTTAACATCTAACTTTCTCCCTGAATTGCAACTTCCTATCAGAGCGAAAAACAATTTTTGACATAATGAATTAAACGTATATAATTGAATAACATGCTCCAGTATGTACAACACCAAAGCAATATTAATTTTTTGATAGTGTCCTGATTTACACCACAGTTAACTTTTGGACTTTGGTTTGTATAAGACCATTTTTTTCTAATGTAATCGTTTCCGAATTAAATGGGTAGTCTACAGAAGTTGAAACAGTCATTAGTATTGATGACTTTGGGGTTGAGTGAGTGAGTGGGTGAGTGAGGTGAGTGAGTGAGTGAGTGAGGTGAGGTGAGGTGAGGTGAGGTGAGGTGAGGTGAGGTGAGGTGAGGTGAGTGAGTGAGTGAGTGAGTGAGTGAGGTGAGTGAGTGAGTGAGGTGAGTGAGTGAGAGGAGTGAGGTGAGTGAGGTGAGTGAGTGAGTGAGGTGAGTGAGTGAGTGAGGTGAGTGAGTGAGTGAGTGAGTGAGGTGAGTGAGTGAGTGAGTGAGGTGAGTGAGGTGAGTGAGGTGAGGTGAGTGAGTGAGTGAGTGAGTGAGTGAGTGAGGTGAGTGAGGTGAGTGAGTGAGTGAGTGAGTGAGTGAGTGAGTGAGTGAGTGAGAGAGAGAGAATATTCATTTTTTCTCTCTCACATCTCTCAAAGCGTTACATTCTACTTTTCTTCTTGCCCTTTCTCTCTCTCTCTCTCTCTGTCTCTCTCTCTGTCTCTCTCTCTCTTTCTCTCTCTCTGTCTCTCTCTCTCTCTCTCTCTCTGTCTCTCTCTCTCTTTCTCTCTCTCTCACTCTCAAAATCATCAATACTACTGACTTTGTTTCAAAATTTTTAAATTCAACATTTCATTTGATCTTCGATTTTTTAATAGAAATATATTCCATTTTATTGAATCCAATTGTTGTTTTTTCTCTCTTCAATTTAGAAGAAGTAAGTGTATGCGTCATTGGATAGTTTCATATGTATATATTAATGGAATATCTACCAATATTTTTAAAGTATCCGTATTCATAGCATATTTGAGTTTATTTGTAATTTTGTTTTAAATTTTTTAGCACACATAAAATGTTTTCTTTAGTTTTTTAAATTTTCTAATGTATTATATTCTATCTGGCTGTGTTATTAGCTAGTAAAATTTATTACTATCTGTACAACTACATTCTGTAATGATCTAAAAACAATTTGCTTATTTGGCATTGCTATATACTGTCGGAGGCAATATGATTTAATCAAGCTTGTTTATTTCTTTGATTAAGTAGTTAGGAATGGTTTGAATTATGTGAAGTTGTATGAAAATTTTATGTTGACGCGGTTCGTTACCTCAATATGCTCAGCAGGTGAACTGGAAAATAACAGAACGCAAACATAATGACGACAGCGACCAGCATTTTTGCTGCTTTTCTCCTCGACCTGAGCTGGATTTCAGTCGAGGCGTTGAGAAGAGTCATCCTCCGCGAACCTGTTAGAAAAAAATGAAAAAAATGTTAACCCTTCTCAGAATTATTATTATTATGCACCGCCGAAGGGTGATACCTTCGGTAAGTTTTCTTTGAACTTTAATGAGATGAAATCTTCCACGGTTTATTTGCTATGTGGGATGTTTTGATTTTAAATTAACCCAATTTTTTGGTTGTCTTAGTGATGTAATTGTCAACTCGTGCGTGGTGTTGACGCGTTAAATTTTTTTTTACCCTTTCCACCACCCCACCGTACCAGAGGAAGACCACATACCGGCGGACAAACGCTTAACTTAATCGAATTTATATATCTAAGAGACTTCAAATAAATGGGATAAAGTTACGTTCCAACGATCTTTCCTTAAGACGCGTTAAAATATCATGTTTTTACCATTATCAAAGTTGACTAAACAACATAACTCCAAATGTAACTACCAGCGTCTCATACAAGAAAACAAAAGAAAACTTTTGCCTTCGGTAATAACCAAAAGTATTGGTACAAATCAACGTTGACTTTAGAAAAATAATGATAATACAAAGATTGAGTTCTATTTTATGAACTAGTTAATTCCTCAATGTTATTTATCGATAAATACTGTACTTATCCTTACATTTAACGGTCGAAATGGCCGGCGAGTTTCAAAGGTCGCATAACTTGAAACCCAGGCTCAATTAAAAACTTTATCAGCTCGTCAAAACGAGTCTTTCCGCTTTTCCTCTAAGGATAAAAACTCAATTTCATGTATTAATTGCATTTTGAAACGAAGTGAATAAAGGGACGAACGTTATTTGATAGGGGGAGGCTTTTTTTTGTTTTACCCCTTTTAAGCCGCGTTCTTCCATAAAAAGTATTACCATAAAAATTAAGAAATGAATTAAGGTGAAATATTCAGTTTTTTAATTAATTAGTTCATTATTTTACTTCTCACTTTGTACAGTTTGTAATTTATTAATCACCGTCGGATAAATTTTATATCACGACTTTTACCGACATTTCACGTAAGCTGTTCCCTAAACTTTTAAGGTTAATTAAAACTGAAATTTATAACAAAAGATCACCGGAAGTGTAAAGAAAAGGCTAAAAAAAATCTACAAGAACGTTATAGGGGAATAAATTAAAATTCTTGTGTAACCTTTAGATTGTTAGAATATTTCCAAGAAGAAGAAGAATTGAATTTGTCTTCTAGTGAAAATATATTGACTGACAGGCAGCCGTGTATCCTACCGTGATGGGTAAAGCAGCTTGTGTGAAGCTAAAGCTTGAAAAGCCGACAAAGGACGTCAGTCATATTTCTCACAAATATTCATCAACACGATCTTATATATTGTTATGACTTACGAGGATTTAACTAGGATTAAACTTTTGGGTGTTACAGACCAGGTGTGCCACTTTGTTGTACTTTGTTTCAGACTATTGCTAATTAAAAATCTATAGGAGTTGCGGGGATTCGAACCCAGAACCACTTGATTGCTGCGGTCTGCTCAATTTTTTATTTCCCAGCTTTGCAGTATTGAATTTACATCGAAAATACGTTTGTAATAATGTTACACGTTCAACTCTGAGACCTGTGCGGTCAAAATTTAATTGTTTTATGTCAAATTTTGGATTTCTTTATGTGATCAGCTAAGTGATGAGGTAATTTGAATCAACAAAACCAGCTGGCCGAGTAAAATAATCGATAATGGCAAAATCAATAAATATGTCATATTTTATGTAAAGCTGCAATTGTCACAATTACATTAATTAAGTGAGTGGTTTACTATCAGATGAAAAATGAGTCCATCGAGGAAAAAGAAGTTTTTTCTCGGGCAAAACGAACTTCTCTAAATTCCAACAAAAAATCAAAAAATCGTTCATGTCTTTTCCAAAAATCTGTGATAAATTGTTAAAAGATTGAGTAATTTCCTGAAGAGAATCAATCCTAACGATAGCACTTTCGACGGCACATAACACAAAATTTAAATATTAATACAATTTCAAAAATTAACTACAAAACTTCCGATTACACAAAAACTGATTAATTTAATATGAAAAAAATCTGCTTTTTTTTGATAAAAAGTATCTTCTCTAGGAAGTAAGTAAACTCATTAAAAAAATTACAAGGAATATAAACGTCAAAACAATCACGTCAAAAAGACTAAATTTACAGCGGTCCTGAATTCGAACCCGTCATACTTGCAAATGGGCTTCTTTGTCGAAAAACACCTGCCTTCGTGGGTTCATATAACCTCTTAAAAAAAATACGGAAATTAGAAAAACCCAAATTATTAGTATTTTCAACGTAAAAATAACAGCTACATAACAAATTGTACTTGATAGACACATACTGCAGTAGATAAAGAGAGTCCAATTATGAAATTTTTTGCCTTAAACTAGAAATAACCGAAATGAATAATCAATTGATCACTTGATCACCCTATACCGGCGATTAATTTGTTTTTAAATTTTGGACATAATTAGCTCTAAGTCGCTCTTTGTTAATTTTCCTTTGAAATGATTTCTTTGTCCCCCTTCACTAATTTATAAAGTTCAAAGGCTTTATTTAATTGAGATTATGTCTTTTTTGATGATGCGACCGAATAATGTTTGACTAATTGAAATTATATATTAATTTATTTTTATTCTTTATGATCAAGTAAGCAAGGTATGTTTATATAGATGCTCCTTATTGTTTAATAATCATTGGCTGTCGCCTGGTGCATCTGTTCTCGGCTTTCCAATCAATCATGTTTTGACATCAGTGGTTAAAAAAGACAGCGAGAATAGACGAGCCCAGATGCGCGACCTTCGTAATTAGCTAACTTGTATACTAAACATGTTTCCATTTTGATCCATGTAGCTTTACCGGATATGGTGCTGGGGCCGGTCAACTTCTGCCCAGTGACTATATTCCCGGATTTCCATAAGACGCTCACGATTTTGAAATAGGCAATAGATGTGACGCACAGGGGTAGAAAGTAGAGAAAGGCCATTTTGTATATGTTGTATTTCCTCTCTGTCTCGTCTCCCCAAGCAGACGTGCACTGCGTGAGCAGGACCGTGTCAACGTTGAAGTTTTTCAGTCTGAATGTGTGCAGCGTGAGCAGTTCCGGAATATCTGAAAAACACGATCACATAAATATATGTTTAAATATAAATATAAATTATTAGTAAGATTGCAATATTTTTCTTAGATTAAAAATGCTTTCTAAAAAGATTTGTATAGAACAAAGGATATTTCAATCATTTATTATAGTAAAACTGTATCAAAGGAAGAAAAAACTTCATTTCATTTCTGTTTTTTTATTTTATGTTTGTATAACAAAACATAAAAATAAGAAATTACAAAAGTTAAACACCTCGATTTGAACAGCATATTTGAACTTGATGACAACTCCAATCGGTTCCAAATCATAAGACCCAATGTATTAAAATTTGCCATGCTCACACTTTTCAAAGTGCCATACGAGAAGAGCAACAAAAGTACAATTGACCCAGAAAAGTCCAATATCAGATGGCACGACGCCAGCAATGCAAGCTGGCTGATTTCTTTCTTCGTGAATTTTATCTGTGGGATATTATCATTTATACAAAAATCCGTCAAAAATATTGCAAACCTTATAAATCACGATATTTTTAGGTTTTGACCTTATACAACTGTTAAGTTTTTAACTTATACATTTTTGTATTTTTTTAAGCAATGTTATTCGTTACATGAGAATCATTGGGGATTCTAATCACTGTTTCCTCCAAAGTCATAATAAGAGCTGAACTTGGTCATCAGAGTATACAAGTGACAACTTCATTTTCTCCAAAGCATAGAAAATACCTAGACATAACCCTTGACCAAAGGCTCAAGTGGAGAAGAGATAAACAACATATTATATAAGGCCAAGACACTACTAAACATTAGCCAGAGATTATGCACCAACAATTGGGAATAAACCCTTGCGTATTGGTTATCGACCAAAACAGTGAATTGCAGCCCAAAACGTTGAATAAGTAGATACAAAATAGATAGAAATGTTACAGACTAGCGCGTCTTCACATAACATGGGCAATAGAAAAAAACCAGGCTGACCAACTAGCCAAAGAAGGGGCAGGTTGCTCATCGATAGAACATTATTTTCTGATAACTGAACAGCAAATCTATCGAAAAGCACTTCGAGTGGTCAATAAGAAGTCTGGAACTTAACCCATCGAACACGTTTTGGACAATCTCAAAAGAAACGTTCCATAGCGAATCCCTACATCCGTTGATAAAAACGGCTGTTTTTAAGGAGTGAGAAATCAAAACACGGGATTTTTTACAAAAATGTTTTATGTGAATGCCATAAAAATTGAGGCAGTAATTTAAGTCAGTGTATGTCTAGTGTACCTTGAATTACAAAAATGTCTTCCCGTGTACCTAGAGTCTGCCAAACGGGTGTGGCTCATACACCTGTGAGCTATATAGTTCCTCACATTTTGTCCACGCACATGCGCATATGTTAAACCGTTTGGAATAAAATTCATAGGGGTTCATCTAGAAGTAGAGTAATCCGCATAATCTCTGAAAATTGAATGAGAATCCGAGAAACGGTTTCAGATCGCATAGCCGTGTATGCGATTGCATGTTTTCACATGGGCAGGCGATACCGTTGATACGATTATGACGAAATTAATAGGGGCCTATCTGGACTATATCTAAACCAATTCACATACTATCTGCAAATTTTATCAAAATCTGTATAATGGTTTCAGAGATACACCTGTGTATCTTGGATTTTACGTTTGCCCATTCGCGGGCGATATCGTCGGCCCTATTGGTATGAAATTCTTAGATTACCATTTAAAAACCGACCCACAAAATCTCTGAAATTTTCTTGAAAATTGGTCTCATGGTGTCGTAGTTTTGTCGGTTTACGAAGAATTGACCACAGAAAGACACACGGAAAACAATTTTCAGAATGGTCTGAAATTCAGAATGCGAGAGTAAATTTTGATTTTGGAGGAGTGGACAAAGGAGGAATATAATAAATGATTATTCGGAAATCGTGAGATGCGGTCTGGTGTGCTGTAGGTTTCAGAAAAATATTAACAAATACATGTAGGATGTGGAAAAAAGTGAATTTATACAATGCAAAAAAAATATGTTTTTTATATTCAGTCAAAGTATTTCTACCTACTCAAAGTGTTTGTTTTCTGCGTAAAACAATATGAGTAGAAATACTTTGATTAAATCTAAAAAATATTTTTTGCATTGTGTAAATTCACTTTTTTCCACATCCTATATGTATTTGTTCAATTTAAACAATGTTTGTAAATCCCAGGCCCTGAAGATGATCTCAATAAAGTTCGAAACGTCGGCACGATAAAGAAAATATTTTTTTGAAACCTACATCACACCAGACCGCATGTCACGATTTCCGAATAATCATCGTCTAAGTCACTAATCACCACACAAATGTTCAGACAGTTCTGAAACGCAAAGTGGGGTAGTTTTCTTTTCCTTTTTTATGATGGTTCGCAACAGCAGAGGTTATATAAACCCTCGAGGTGCCGATGTTTTTGGAAAAAAAATTTGTAAGGATGTCGGGTTCGAATGCAGGGGCGCTGGATTCGAACTAGGGACCTTTACCTTACAGTGATGAGCGCCGTGTCAACGCTTAAACCGTTGAGGTCACCGACGCTCCCTTGAAGTGTCTGTTCATTTCCAAAGACAGCACACATTATCCATTAACAACATGATATGATTTCGTCGGAGACCTCTTATCGGCAGACTAGGATAATTTTTCTTTCAGACTGTGAACCAAATATTCTAAACAAAATGGAATGGATAAACCTTGAGCTGAATAGAACTTTCCGTTAAGCCTTAAATAAAAAATCGAACATTCTTTTAGCAGGTTCTCAAATCATTAAACCACTTGAGCTTTTAAGTTTATATAATTATTGACGAAATATTATCTTTTCTCACTAGAAATTATCCCACTCTAATGTAAGCCATCCTCTGCGTTTTGGAGCAAATTAGCGCCAACTATTCCGGTCAGTAAGTTGATTAAGTTGACTGATTACGGTGACATTTGACGTTCAATTGTATCGTTTATCCGCCAGTGATTAATTAAGAATCCTGGCTTACTATTCATCGGCAACTGACGGCCAATCTGGTCAAATCCGATTTTGAATGACGGTTGGTTCCAAAAATTTAAATATCCAAACCCTGCCCCATTTATCCTTTTCACTTAACATCTTTAATTCTGGCACAAAATTTAAACATCCCTTCTTTTCCCCTTCGAACTTTTTTTTCACCTTACCTTTTATATTTGCAATATTCTTGAATTCAAAACGTATAAGCAAAAAATTACATAGGCATTAAAAGTGTCAAGTCTTACATGGACAGCTTTAGTATTGACTTGATATTTAGCTTATATTAAAGACAGTATTTGATATTTAAGGAAATTACTGTTTTGTCTTTAAAAAACAATTCTAATATTTTTTTAAATATTTATTTTATTTATATTATATTTTTATATTTTCTTTATCAAACTCAGTGCAGTCGATTATCTACAGTTTTGACCTAATTCCGCGTTTAGACGGATTATTCGTTTTTTTAACCAATAGCCTGTTTAAACCTTGTGGTGACCCAGAGGAACCACCACAGACGGCCCTAACCAGGGCCTCACCCCCCTGTCGGTTCGGCCCATGGAGAGAGTCCACATCCATCAGGAGTAGTGAAACGACATATCCAAAAAAAGGAGGAGAGAGACTGGTTCCTAACCGGGAGACAGCTGGATGGTGGAGGGCAAAAAGGCTGACTGATGAATCGGAGAGAACGGAAAAGGAGGAATGGAAGAGGAGAGAAAGGAAGAAAAAAAGAAAGCGGGTCGTTTCGGGACCACCCCACGGCACCGGACCACCTCAGGAAAGGTAGGCAGGCTTCCTATTCTTCTCTATAATTCTGTAATCGATAAATAGAGTGATATTTTAAATTTGAGTTTTACCGAAACGCCCGGTGTGTGTAACGGACACAAAGAACTTGACAGTTCCCTCTAAATATAAATAATTTCAGCAGCGTTCCTGAAGGAAACAAATTCCATTTCTAATTAAAAATGCACGCCGACATTTCATCGCTAACTGCATTTCCGAGTTTTGTAATGAGCTTTTAACGTTAATTACCTTTTTATTGTTTACTAAGAAGTCCATAATAAATGATTTTCACGAAATCCACGGGATGATCTTCTTTAGCTCTAATCTGCCCTTAAAAGTGATTAATGGAGGTTCATTAAGCTTTCGTCAGATCGCGACGTTACGTTAGATAGTCACTTTTCATCGGCCTTCAATAACATTTAGGCAGCAAAAGAACCCGTCGAAAGCCTTTGAAGTTTTTCATGCCAAACTTTTCCCCAAAGCTGGGTTTAATGGGAAGATATGGAAACAGTGAAGCATATTTTTTTTTCAAATTATTTTGAAAAAATGTGCATTATATTATAGAGAAGCTTGTTTTACAAGCTACCACAAAAACCAGGTCGGAAAACAAGTTCGTACCGTGTTTTGATGGTAAATTCAATTAAAATTGCAGGTACTTGTAAACAATGTATACACAACATTTTGTTCCGGCACATGTTACCATCTTCCATCTAATTTTACAATTTCCTCATCCCAGAAGTTAGTTCTCAAGTTTTCCCATTATCAAAGTTTTCAAAGCCTGGAATAAGTGTAAATATGAAGAGTTGAATATAGTGGTAGGTGACACATCCCTTTATTCATTTTTAGTCAATTGCTGCATTTAATTGCTCCAATTGTGGGCAGTATACACTAGAATTAATTCCTTGGTAGGGCAGAAGAAGCTCATAATAAACCCAATCCTACCCAATGCAAATTACCTTCTTGCGATGTAATCCGGCTGCGTTTTCTCCTGGAACAATGTTGTAAATGACCCACTTTTCATTCCCAGATATCAATCTTTTAAAAAATAGATCTTTTATGATGGAGATTGTAGTAAATTCTTCTCAGTCGATATGTGAGAACCTGTATGTCGCTCCATATTCAGCTGCCCTCATATACATTAAAATGGTTGTACGAGGTATGTTAAATGTCTCTGTGATCTTTCATGCCGTCTAGTGCGGGTTATTTTTGAGAAAAACATTAATTTGTTCATCGTCGAACGAACATTCAAGTAAAAATTTCTGCTTCTGAAACGAGTAAACCAGTTGTGACGGTACTTTCTTCTAAAGGGTCATCACCATAAACAGCAAATATTTTTCTAGCTGCCTGAGCTGAGTTTTTCCTTTGTGGTAATAAAACCTATCAATTAACTAATAGCATTTTCTCCTCTAAATTAACAAAACACGAAATTTACCGGTTGAGGGGCGAGCAGTTCAACTTGATCTCGTTTACCAATCGGGCCAAAAATTGGTCACAATATGTGGAAATAATTTCTAAAACTAACGATATATCAAAAGTCCCAAAAATCTTCGAAAACATACGATATGTCGAACTAAACAGACGAATAAAAACACCTTTTCAGAATGTCAGACAATAATGACAAATTAAACAATACTTCAAAACACAAGTAGGGTAAAATTGAATTGCTGAAAAACACAAAAAACAAGCACTTATTTTACAACCAATACAATTTCACTATAAACGATGTAAATTTTCCCCTGGAATTTACAATTTTAAACAATCCAAAAAACGGGCGTCGGTGGCGCAACGGTTTAGGCGTTGACACGGCGCTCATCACTGTAAGGTAAAGGTCCCGGGTTCGAATCCAGCGGCCCTGCATTCGAACCCGAACCTTACAAATGGGCTTTTTTTCAAAAGCATCAGCTCCCCGAGGGTTCATATAACGTCATAGTTGAAATACCCTCGTAAAAAAATGTAAATTAAAAAAAACAATCCAAATAAAACGTAAATAGACCAGGTTATTAAATTTTATTCCACCAAAAATTATGTTAACACACAAGTAAACATGATTTTACTCGTGTATGACCTGAGAGTCTTCTGTATTTCTGCAAAGGATATTTGTAATACCAAGCTTAACTTACTTAACAAAAATTATAGTGAAAATTTGATTAGAACTGTTTGCATCTTTTAAACTTGGATTTTTGGCTGGTACGAAGGACCCTTCTTCAAATGTAATTTTGCCCATACAACGTTGAAGACGACACGTTTTGATCTCAGGACAACTTCTTAAGGCAAATATAAGTGGCGAATGACAACCAAAAGGAGGAAATTAGCCCGAGATTAACTTCCTGCCTGTTTGGAATTCTGGAGAGAGAAACTTGGTTATTTTCCCCTCGGTCGACTCTTTTTTTGTCAGCCGAAAGATGGCTTAAAAACTGATTGTAACCAAGTCGTAACTACGTCCGATTCGATTTGGCGAAAGGTAAAGCAACGAGATGTTAAAAGATTCCGTAAACTGGGCAAAGGTTATAATAAAATCTCAATTTTATTATACATATTTGAATATATTTTATTAGCCGTTTTATAGATTTTTGTGTATAATACGTTGTATAGATTTTTTTTAAAACTTACTTTACATTGTCATTATAAATATAGTCACATCCTTGTGACTGAATTAAATCCTCTCTTGCTTTTTCGATGTAAATATTAGGAAACTCTGTTTTCATCAAAGGTAATCCGTTCAAATCAAGACCAGTTAAGTAAATAATGGAGCCTAAAGAAAAAAATATATAATAAAATTTTCAACGGTTTAATCTAGTCGTTAATAAGTATTAGCGAATCCGTAAGTTTTTATTAAAAAGAACTTTTAACGTGCTTCGGCAAAATTATGAAACCATTGTTTGTTTTTTCTCAAGTATTTAATTAATTAAAAGCTCATAATGAGATATTTTGGTGGCCATTTTCTAGAAAAATCTTTTTACAAACTTCTTAAGAAGAGTTGTAATTGCTTTTAAGTTTTTGTCACCTACAGTTAATTGTGCTCGTAAATTTACAAATCATTAGGTAATGTTTAATTAACGTAAGGTTCTACTCAAACCGGAGGGGTTATAAAAACATTGCTTGTTTGATGATACAGCTAATTAACTGTTTGTAAAATTAATCAAATCTTTTCGTATGTTTAGGGAGGCCGCTGGCTTGTAAATTTGACTGTTATCCATTAACGAAAGGTGTTTTCAAATCAACCCTTACGTATTCAAATGAAGTTGTGACTGATTGATTTTCCGTCTACCCTTCTATTATCTGAAGTATTAGTCATTGTCTTCATTTTCGGTTGTTGTGAGTTTGCTCTCTGTGGTGATTGCCCTTTTATATTGTATACTGTAATTTGTAGTAGGGTGCGGTTTTGTGTTTGACGGTGTCGCGGTGGCTTTGTCGGTTGTATACCGCGGTTTTACTCGCCTGATCTGGGTCGATTGCGGTTTCAACTTACAGCGCTAAAGTAGTTTTGTCCCCCTTTTTTTTGAGAATTTCAATGGGGGTAAAAGTTTTTATGAGCGGGCAGTGAGTTTTCACTCAAGTTCACGAGTAAAATCAATTCCTCCTGATTATCAATTTTATAATAAGACGACATTATTTACAAAAAATTGAAATTGTGACGCAAAGGGAAGTCAAAATAATTAATGGTAATGCTAATGAGGATACTACAAAAAGGGGGTTTGTGCTCCCCAGGCACTGCAGCTTTTGTACCTTCCTAGTTCCCTAATTCAACGCAATAGATTCAATCCTTCTTCTTAGAACTATCAGGTCATTGACTGTCGCTGCTACAATTTGATTCCCTACGTTTTTTCCGTATGTTAGGTTAAATCTCCATTGAGCCGTTGCTTCACTTTCGACGATGATATGGGTGGCTGTTCCTCCTCCTCATTACAGAATCTGCAGATGGGATCATCATCATATATGCCTTATTGTGTAGATGTTTTCTCAGATGCCATTGACCCGTTAGTAGTCCTATCATTTCTCTCAGGATCAAAACTGAGTTTGTCAATCTTAGTGAGGGTTGGTTCATCATAGTTTTATTGTGTTTACAGTCGCTAGAGTTTGTTCAATTCTCCTTTTGTTTTGTTTGGATCCATTCTGCGATGGAAGATTCTATATTTGTTTTTGTTATCCCAAGTATAGGTTCAGGGCCTATGGTCGTGCACATCCTTCTCTAGTTGTGTTTCTGTTTTTTCGTCACCCAAAATTCCTCTGTGCTCTGGCTCCCAAGATATCATCAGGTTGGTGTGTTTCCTCAGGGTTTGGAGATTTTGGATTAATTCACTGACTAATTTTGATGTTATTTTTTTTACATGCTAATGTTTTCATATCTACTTGGCTATCAGATCTCATGATGATCATTTTGCCATCGTAACCTCTTTTCTGATTTTCTAGGGCACAAGCTTGATGGCATGTATTTCTGCTTGAAAGACCGAACTGTTCTTCGGTAACGATTTTGAATGCTCATTTCTTGGGCTTGTACAAAAAAAAATATGCCTTTGTTTGTTTTGAAGCCATCTGTATACCATATCATTGTATCTGATGCTCTCCTGTGTTCTTTTTCTCCTTTGTAGTCCGTTGAGACTTTATAGGAAGTTGTGAAGAATGTTTCCGGGATCATATAGTCCCCATTTCTAAGATGGGTGTCTGATCTTATTAATTATGGTTGCGTCCCCGATTTGTGATTAAAATAGTTACTTTTTAGTAGTACAGATTTGTACATGGAACCAAAATTACTATTTATCTTTCTTTTTCTAATTTTTATTTCATTATTTAATTGACATCAAATATGTCTTATTGACTTTTCAGTCCTTACCGCAAAGGAGGGCGACGATCCATATGAGGAGAATTGCGCTTTTTGCTCTTGATGTGGTCGAGTTGAATTTGAGAGGAAAGCAAATAGCATACCATCTGTCCAAGGAGATGAAAGTAAGCGTGAGTACGCTAACAGCCACGCTGACCGTCTGAAACAAAAAAATAGAACGCCTCTGTTAAACTTTCGCCAGCAGATTTATTTCTTTTCACATTCAATTATGCTTTATCTGAAGATATATTTTTTAAAAAGATTATTACCAAAACCATAAAAAATTGACTTTTTTATCTCAAATAAAAAACCTTAATTAAGTGTAATATATTAATTGGTCAAGCTGACCACGAAATTAGTGAATTTAATGATTAAAAATTAAGTATACTTCACTAAAGCTCTCCGTGGCCATTTCATTTGTCGTCGAGAATCCAACCCGATTACACGACATTTGAAAAGTGGCAAAATGAAGGGAAAATTCAAAAGGTGGGGTTGAGATGGGAAGTTAGTGTTCGAATAGATCGAGGTCACGATAGCTCAAGTGGTAGAGCAGCGGTGTATCTAGCCGAAGGTCGTGGGTTCAAATCCCGCTCGTGACACTGACGTTTTTATCTCAACCTATTTTATATTTATGACCACAGGACTAATCCGCGAGATTCTATTACATAATAAAGGCTGGTAGAAAGCATAGAAAGTATTAGTTTCAGAAGGTTGCTTCTCCTTTTGGCTCTGCACTTCTCATTATTTTTTAATTATAGAGACTCCTACTAGAACGGTTTTTTCCAGTGGGGAAAAGATCAGAATACTGATCTTTTTATCATTCATACTACCAATGCCAAATTACACCTCTTTTTCCCCTTGCTTCAACCATGGTCCAATTTCCAAATTTCTGTTCCCCATTCCTACACTATCTTTGTTTCCAGGTAGACTGACGGTTAACATGGAATCAGCATACAGCAGAAGTAGCGCAAGGTCCAAAAGCGTAAAAACCTACTGTCTTTATATATGTTTATTAAAAAGATATCAAATTGTTTTTACGAGGCTATTTCCACTACGAGGTTGTATGAACCCTCGGGGTACCGGTTTAAAAAAAAAGCCCATTTATAATTATCAGTACGTTGGGTTCGAATGCAGGACCGCTGGATACGAACCCGGGACCTTTACCTTACCGGCGATGAGCGCCGTGTTAACGCCTAAACCGTTGCGGCCACCATTTAAAACGTAGTATAATGTATAATAAGGAGTGTGCACAGTATAGCTCAATAGATAAATTATTATAAGGGAAATACAGTATTTTTTCTAGACAGGTACATGGAATTGAATAAAACAAGCGGTCTGAAGTAAACATATATCAATAAAGACAAATCGGTTAATAGAAAATGCATTCATAATGCAGGTACAAACTGGGAAAAGTAGCTAACCGTGAAAATAAACTAAATCCTTTTGGTCTTAATGTTTACTCATTTTCTGTCGTTCTATCACTAATAACATTTAGGTACTTCAGGATCGGAATAATATATTTATTTTTATACCCTTTTTCTCAATAAAAAAATAATTATAGTCGACCTTGGATAAGTTAATCAACATAATATCCACACATAACATCCAAGTTTTTAATCAGTTGCACCCTCGTACTAGTAAACATTAACCATAATAACAATTACGGCTGATAAAACATAAAAAATTGATATTCTTTAAAATAGAATAACCTTTTTTAAACATAAAATAACATATGCATAAATAAATTATTTATAACAAATCCAGAGTGTCTTGGCTTAATGGAATGGATTTCGTGTTTTGTTCCTTATGTGATGTAAATCTGTCTGGCGAAATCATGGTCTTCATCCTTCAAATTGTTTAGAATTATCACTACAGCAAAATGAATCAACTGGAGAAACCGAGTTGCAATCTAATAAAGAAACAAGAAACTGACATTTTAACCAAGAATTGCATTTTTCTAAAAAATTTGTCTCAATGTTTGAATACTATTTTGAATCTATGTTGAAAATAAATGGATTCTTTATTTCCGTTGTGATTCGAGAATGTTTATCGGGAAATCCCTGAGACTGTATCGGGATGAAAAGAAGAAGAAATTGATAAAGGAAAGGTAAAAACCGTGTTTGACGGATTGTTAAGGTGGAAAGATTAAAAAAAATTCAAAATTTCCTTAAGTTTTTGTTTATTACTATTAATCTTTCCACCTTTCCAGTCTATCAACCACGGTTTTTTCCTTTCCTTCACCAATTTCTTCTTCTTTGAAAAAAGTAATTTTTTACTTATTACTTTACTTACTGTAATAGTAATTACAAAGGAATTACACCACTAAAAAGGATATTAAATGAACTACGTTTTCTGCAATTTGCCGGTCTCTATGTTTGGATATAGTAGTTTAGAATCACCATAGTAAGTTTTTCAACATTGTAAGAAGAATTTTTTTCAAAATTCTGACTACTAAAACAATTATTTTTCCCACGATTACAAGTTTAATGTTAATCACATCTTATTGGAAATTTAACGTAGTTTTCAATGGTATCAACGGATTTGTCTAAAACCTTTTTTTTTTTTAGTTATCATTGTTTATTTGAAGTAAGGTTGTGAAATCTTAAAAAATCAGAAAAAGTGAAATAACTCCGAAACTGTTGAGATTCGGGCCATAGTTAATTAGGACTTTTTGGTTATTTACTACTGCACTATTTAAATGTAGAATTTAGAATTTTGTGATACGAGTAACCGAACACCCAGTGTAATAACATTTTCAATATTTTTTGGTTTATTGCATATTTAAAGGCATTTGTAAATAAATAGATGCATTTAAAAAAAATTCTTGAAGCCAAAATAAAATATGTTTAAAAAGAAGTTTTTGCCGCCTCTGAACTCCTGCGGCGACTCATCACTCAAAGAGCCCTGCGTTCAAAACTCAGCGGTCCTGAATTCGAAACTAACGGGCTTCCGAAATGTTTTTTTTTCCAGGGTAAGAGAGAAAACTAGAACCACCGGGTTTAAATGACATTTGCAGTAACAAACCTCAGAAAAAAATATTAGTAACAATAGAAAAAGCAGATTAGTTTATAATCCCGACAATCAAACGACAAATGATAATACATAAAACATAATTAAAACTAATTTCGACGTACGGTATTTTAACAGTTGGTAAGAAACTTCCATTGCCAAACAATTCCAATACTTTCAATCCAAATTTTTGAGATCAAATGTGCATGAACCTATAAAGATGGAGACAGAAAAATGGCTTGGAAAACTCGAGCGCTGGACGCAAGCAGAAGGATTAAGTGCTTCTATACCATGGAAATTGCGGTTGTTGCCACAAAGGTAAGCACTTTACTCGGTGCCTCTTCGCGCACTTCTCTTGGTGGTTAATTACGGTTATAAAAGTAAGAGGTTCCACAAAAGATTTATTACAGGTGGCTGAAACATAATATCAATCCCCTTATTCTCAAAATCAAGAATAGCCAGAATAAAAGTTAAAAAGGTAAGCCGCCAAAGTTTTGGCGTAGAAATTGAATACGTAATCAAAAACTGTAATTTGTTACAGGGGGAATCATCAATGACTAATTGTTTAATTTTAAGTAGCACCCCATATTATTCTCTTGAGTTTATTAAACTATATTTGTTTTCAAGAAAATTAAAAAATCAAGAATATTGGTTGGAAATAAAGAAAGCTCGGTTAAACTTTTAAGCAAGGAAGATCGTGATTATTCTTATCTTTCCCAAACCTGTTTAAAAAATCTTATTCAAACATTTGTCATGTAATATTAACATTGATATGATTATGAGAGCGAACTTTTAATTTACAAAAGTATTCATTATAGTGGTGTTTTGTAACGATCGTTTAGAATTTCGATAATCGTTGTTTCGCATCTTCGTTTTGTTTACCGTTTTCGAATTAGTTATCGGCAACTTCGAATAACTTTGGCCATGTTTTCAGTCCGCATTTGGCTTTTATTTTGTGTTAAAGTTCCTCGCATAAAAATGAGTAAGTACATGCGGTTCCATGTCAAATGTCAGAAGTCTATCGATGGAACGGGATTATCGATTTTGAAGAGATTCAAACTTTCTAACTATTCTTATAAAAGTCTTAAAATGAGGTATTCCCCGCTGCGGGAATCTTCGAGCAAAATCTCTTTCAGCACTCAATACACATGCTGGTTTTCTCTGCGATCGCTGTCACGACAATTTTAAAAACACAGAACTTTCCATCCCTATAACTTTTGTATATTTGTAAATATAAACAAATTAAAATAAATATAGGCAATAGAGAGTGAGAAAGAAAAGTTATAGAAACTAGACTAACAATTTGTATAAAAATTGTTCCGGCACTGGTTGGTTTCTCTCCCTACTGCCTCCTGTCATGACAGATCTGTTAGATTTGCATATAACTTTCACTAGTTTTCGTGGTCCGCTTGACCAATTAATATCTTTCAATTAGTTAAAGTTTTTAGTTGAGATAAAAAAGTCAGTGTCACGAGCGGGATTCGAACCCACGACCTTCGGCTTGATACGCTGCTACTCTACCACTAATCTATCGTGACTTCGATCCACTCAGACACTAACTGCCCATCTCAACCCCACCTTTTGAATTTGAAAAATGGCAAAAAGGAGGGAAAATTCAAAAGTTTGGGTTGAGATGGGAAGTTAGTGTCCGAGTGGATCGAAGTCACGATTCATGACACTGAGTTTTTTATCTCAAATAAAAACCTTAACTAATTGAAAGATATTAATTGGTCAAGCGGACCACGAAAACTAGTGAAAGTTATATGCAAATATAAGAGATCTGTCATGACAGGAGGAATTAATTGAAAGATATAATTATACTATTTGTTCAATGTATACTCTGTACTGATAGCAATAAATTAAAAAATGCATTTTGATAGTTTCCGTTATTTTTGAAATTATCGGCGTACTTTTCACATGAAATCGAAAACAATAAAAAATACCAGTTTTAGATACACTCGTAATAAAACAACCAAATGGCACATTAATCACAGATTGGTATCAAAAACCAAGAAAAATATCGCTACCTCAACTTTACATCACACCATCCTCTTCATACCATAATAAACACGGCCAAAGAACAATTTCATAGAATTATTACCCTAAGCCAGGGTTTGTTATGTTCTTTCACCATAAGAACATAAAGATATA